AAAGAGGTGTCCCCCCCCCCCCCCCAACATCTAGGGACCCATCTCTGTGCAGTGCTGGTACCACACAGAACATGTTTGTCATGCTATCACAGAGGTAGCCCATCTGGCCCAGTGGTACCCTTTGTCACGCATTGCATATAGCTAGGCCATGAAAAACTACTAGGGCACTATCTGCAAGTAAGTTGTCACAACTAGCCAGACACCTGTGTAGGACAGTATGGCATGGCCAGAGGTGGAGCATGAGACTGCAGTTTGAACTGTGTTGTCACTGTAGAGCTGACACTACTAGAACCATTTTTTTAAAATCAGTAATCTATGCAGTCTAGATTTATGGTGTCAAACTAAGATATGCAATTTGCGCTATACAAATTGCATATCTTATTTTGAATCTACTTCAAAATAGCTCATTTTGAAATTTGGTGCATTTACACACCGCCAAATTTCAAAATAATGTGCTATTTCGAGTCATCCCTTAATCCTTGTTGAGGGGAGATTTACCGGGATGGTGAAATAGCATGACTGTTATTTTGAAAAATATTTTGAAATAATGGACAGTTTGTGTTGATGTGAGATAGTTACTTCAGGATACCTCAGGTACCCCAAAATAGCTGTGCAGCGTAGACGTACCCTCAGATGGCACAGGGTGCCTCTGGTCCAGAAACAAGCAGCTAGTATCTCTGTATTACAGAAGGTGATATTGCACCTCATGCAAAATGGTGTGCAGCCAGTTTAAGTAATTTGAGGAACAGGTTTTTATCTGAACTTTACTAAACCACGCTAACTGCAAGCAGAGCACCCATGCAGGGGCTTCAAGAAAACTGGCACAGGCTTGTGTGCATCTAATGCATGTGCTTACATAGGGCTCACAAAGTAAATGCTGTTGTTTAGTTTGAAAAACAAAATATTTGCTTTATAAATGTTGGGAAAACATTTCTATTTTGGAGCATCTAGTCATTTGAGCAGCCTGGGAAGCAGACAATCTCAGCATGAAGCTGGACTCTGCCACTGATTTGAGGCATTATCACCAACTTGTCCCTTCCCCCACTCTGTTTCAGTTTCCCCAGCTATAACTAATGAGTAATGCTTTGTGAATCTAAACATTGACAGTCAAAAGATTATTAGGGTGTGCTAATGCTTTCTTTTAGGTCAGCTCTTTTTGTAGGCTGTGCTTAATATTGGTCTGGATTTTTGTAATGCCAGGGTTAGCAGATGATTAGGAAAACATTGACTGAGCACCTAGTCAAGATTCCTGCACATATCCTAAGTGCAGCTAACAGGGAACTTCTCAAGAGCAAGTATGGGTTCTGGCTTTCTCCTTTTTGTTTTTCCTCTTCTCTATTTATGTTAAGACTCCTCAATCTTCTGACACTAATAACTGTGGTGACCATATTTCCCTATGCTGAATATGGGACACCTGGTAAAATTACTCACTTTCAAGTGAGTTCTTCAGTAAGCAGAACTATGCAGTACATGCGTTCAAATTAACATCAAGTTGACTAAGCCCTCATTAAAAAGAAATATTTGATGCAAAATGGTATGGATTTACCTGCTCATTGTTAAGATTTGTAGGGACACAGCCCTCTCTCCTAGTTTCCCCCTCAGTATGGTAAGAAGTGAGATACACACACTCTTCTACGCCTCTCTCACACGGGGCAGGGAGGTGACTGTCTGAGCATGGCTGGGTATGGCTGTCACATGTCTACCAGACTCCTGATGGGATTAACACCAGAATGTTGACACTGTGCAGGAGAGAGGGCTTGGGAGTGACTTCCAGTCACACAGTCATACAGGGAGGAGGGGGGAAGAGGTGCTCTGGCCTGCATGCTTGCAATGCTCGTCTCGTCGCTTTCCCCCATCTTCCATGGATGGAAGCACCTTGTTCTTACCTGCCCAAACCATGATGAAAGGCAGTTGACACCTCCAGGCTGCTGCTAGCCACATACACCAGTTGTCTCCAGTATGGATAGGAAGGGGGTAAGCCCTAAGGATGCATTGGGCACCGAAGAGGTGCTCTGGCCTGCATGCTTGCAATGCTCGTCTCGTCGCTTTCCCCCATCTTCCATGGATGGAAGCACCTTGTTCTTACCTGCCCAAACCATGATGAAAGGCAGTTGACACCTCCAGGCTGCTGCTAGCCACATACACCAGTTGTCTCCAGTATGGATAGGAAGGGGGTAAGCCCTAAGGATGCATTGGGCACC